ATCGTAGCATGGACAGACTCACTCGAGCCTGAGGCTGCCCCAGGGCTGAGGTGTCCCCATGGACACCCGTATCCATTTCCTGACCTCTGCCTGGTGGACTGCTTGTCATATCCCAGAGGCATCTCTAGTGGTTGTGGGTACAGGCTCTGGAACTGGACTAGGATTCCACAGCTGCCACTTACTAGCAAGAAAGCACCTACAACTTTGGGAAGACAGGAGTGTCTTTGTCTCTGGTTGTCACAAAGCCATAGATACCACCAGTCTCTCTGGCTACAAATTCTGAGGGCCAACTCGAGATTTTAGGAAGCTACTCTCCTGCACCAGGAGAAATTACTTATACTACAAGGGAGTGGGGTGGGGTATGTTAAATGAAGTCATGCAAACTTTAGGGAAAGTCCCAAGAGGAGACTATGGGATCCCTTACTTCCCCCTAGCTTATTTTTCATTTCTAAAAGTTTTATTTGGTTCTTTTCAGAAGCTGTTTACTCTTTTCCTATCATATCCTGTTTTGTTATTGTAGTATCTTTTTCTCCTTTTTCATAAAAACTGAAACCTACATGAGATAGATCGATGGACCAGAACAGAATGTTCAGAAGTAGACTCAAATAAATCACGAATTTAATATATAGTAAGGGATGTCACTAATATGACATTGCATATCAGTGTAGAAAAGATTAATTTTTCCCTACATGGTATTTTATAAATATACTCCATGTGTGCAAAGACAACTGTTTAGCCATCTAAAAATATATTGGATTTTTATTATAAAACTTAAAACCAAAATTAATGTCAGATGGACCAAAGATTTAAATGTAAAAACTGAAACCCTAGAGCTAGAAGATAAAATTTTAAATATTCTGTGAGTAGAAAAGCCCTTTCAAAGTCATATAGAGGCCATTAAAAAAGATACTGATCATTTAACTACATGAAATAGAAAATGCCTTAGTGTGGAAAGGAAAAATATAAAGTCAAAACACAGGCCTGATTGGTGTGGCTCAGTGGGTTGAGCGTGGGCCTGTGAACCAAAGGGACACAGGTTTCCTTCAGTCAGGGCACATGCCTGGGTTGCGGGCCAGGTCCCTGATTGGGGGCCCATGAGAGGCAACCACACATTGATGTTTCTCTCCCTCTCTTTCTCCCTTCCTTCCCATCTCTCTAAAAATAAATAAATAAAATATTTAAAAATAACACCTGGCTGGTGTAGCTCAGTGCATTGAGCGAGGACCTGTGAACCAGAGGATCGCGGTTCGATTCCCAGTCCGGGCACATGCCTGGGTTGCAGGCCAGTTCCCAGCTGGGGATGCACGAGAGACAACCATACACTGATATTTCTCTCCCTCTCTCCTTCCCTTCCCCTCTAAAGATAAATAAATAAAATCTAAAAAAAAAAAAAATCAAATCAACCACAGGGCATGGAGTCAGAAGAGTTGAAAAATCAAGATCTCAATTCAGCTGCACCAGCTCCTAAACCCTTATTTTCTTCTCTGAAATGGGGAGAGGTCTCCCTCACACGTTTGACACGAAGATTCAATAAGAATGGATGCAAAGCACACTGCCATCTCTCCTGAGTTGCATGCATTTGTGTCAATGTTATTATGCCAAGGAGACCATCAGTCACTCCTGTAGCCTGGGAGGGGAGTGTGTCAGGCAATGGTCAGTCAGTACAGTTGTGGTCAGGAGTCTCTTCCACTTAAGGCTTTAGGGAAAGAATCCATTCTTCTCTAGGAGAAGGTCCCTTCTTGAGGGCTGCCCGGTCTGGCCACCGCAGGGGCACTTTCCCTAGGGTGAGGTAGGGTATCCCTACCCATGAGGCAGCACAGGTTGAGGTGTGATTTGGGGGTTTCCACCAAGGCTCCCCACCCCCAAACAGCCTCCTTCAACCACCTGCTTCTCGTGACCCCAAGTCCACTTTAGAAAGGCATACTTGAGCTAGAGATATCTTAACTGAAAAAATAGAAACGATCCTAGGAGAAGTAATAAATTGAGTCTTGAGGGTTAATGTTTTACTGACATGTTTGTGTCATTGGTGTGTGGCAAGTGTGCTGGCCTGGGGGTTATCAGGTCTGAGTTCTAGTGCCACTTCTGGTGTTGACTTCCTGTGCACCTTGAAGAAGTCACTTTTCTTCTTGGGCTTCTTTTTTCCCCTCTGAGCTAGGAGATGGTTGGATTATATGCTCTGTTTTGGTTCTTTCATTCACTCATTCATTCATTCTTTCATTCAATCAGTCATTCATTCTACAAATGTTTGTGAAGTACCTACTGTGTACTGGGTACTGTTGTAATTGCTTGGGACACAGCAGTGAATGAAAGGTCTGCCCTTGTGGAACTTATATCTTAGTGGAAGGAGATTGGGAATAAATAAGAAATATTCTCACAAACTAAATTATCTAATATTTAAGGGGTTTAAGTGCTTTATGAAAACAAACACAGATAAGGGATATTTAAGTTGTGGTGAGGGAACTGGAATTTAAGACAGGCAGACATGCTAAAGTACACTGAGGAAATGACATTTGAACAAACATTTGAGAGCAATTAAGGAGTTAGCTAAGCAGAGAGCTTGAGAAAGAACATTCCAGGCAGAGGAAACAGCCCGTGAAAGGCCCGGAGGCGATTGTGCTTGGTAAGCATGAGAACGCAAGAATGAGGGCAGAGAAGTAACCCAATGGACGGTAGGGAGAGATTGTAGGGAAACTTACAGGCCCTTGCAAAGACTTTGGCTTTCAATCTGCATAAAATGAAGAGCAGCAGGGGGGGTTCGTTTCAGTACTTTGTTTCTTAGAGCAGTTTTAGGTTCACAGCAAAACTGAGCACCAAGTACTGCGATGTCCTGTATCCTGCTGTCCCCACGCACGCACAGCGTCCACCACCATCCACATCCTGTACCAGAATGGTGTATATGTTACCACTAGTAAACCCACACTGACACAGCATTATCACCCAGTGTTCATCGTTGACACTAGGGTTCGCTCTTGGAGTTGCACAGTGTATGGGTTTAGACAAACAAATCCACCATTCTAGTACCATACAAAGTATTTTTTACTGTCCTAAAAATCCTGGGTGCTGTTGGAGGATTTTTAGCAGAGCAACGTCAAGTGATCTACCCTATTGGAATTCTGAGATCCTACTGAAGTGGAGGAAAGAGTTAAAGATGCCAAAACCATGCCTCACCTGGTGCCCATTTTGCCATTAGGCCTCCTGATTTCTCCAAGGCTGCTAGGAAGCTCCCCCACTAACTGGTCCGCATCTGTGCACACCAGATTGGAAGAGTACATTGAGTCCCATGATTCCTCTAGGTGGCAGTGCTGCCTCACGCACAGGGGACACCTCCCTATTTCGGTTTGTACCCAGAACAGCCAGCACTTTCCCAGGGACCTCACCAGTGAGATCTTTCAGTAGAGAATATCAGAGGGTCCCCAGTCATCAGGACACCCTTCAGCCTGCCCTCCCTTGTCTCGCAGTCTGGGATCATCCAAGCAAAGCAGCTCCAGGCCTGTGCCTTGGCAGTCTCATCCTGCCTCTTCTAGAAGGCAATGGGTGTAAAGAACAAGGAAAGATCTGGGCTGCCCCCTTCTTTCCCTACTTATATTTCCCTGTACTTGTTCTTCAGGTCTAGATTGACATCCATTTTACATTGTAAATCTTTGATGATATTCACTCCCAAATAAAACTGAGGGGAGAAGAAAGGGTCACAGGTACTTGCTCTGGTCCTATCCATTCCAGGGCAGCCCCGGGCACTGTATGCTGCAGCCCTGGGCGCAGCCCTGATTCTCCTGTTTTTCTAAAATGATTGGGCCTGTTTGACCTCTTGGAGTTGACCTTGACCACCATCTATCTGGTCTTTTTGGCTAAAAACAATGTGCTCTCATCGCTCCGCCCCTCCCTCCCTCCCCCACCCCCACCCTTCTCTCTGGCATCTATCTCTGAAAACTGTCAGTTTCATCTTGTATAATCACACAAATTTACCCCTCCCACATCTATACACATCGACCTTGCCTTTGTATACCAAAGGGCAGCAAATACTAAAGGCTAGAATGGCCCAACAGGTGATGACGGGGTGGAGAAGACCAGTGTGTAAGGCAACAACCAGGGGTGGGGACGGTGGTGAACTGGAAAGAATATCAACGAAACCTAAGTTTAACTGCTTCTCAGCCACAGCGGGGTGTTGTCCTGTGGGAAGGCAGGTTCAAGTGTGGCCAGTTTCACAAAGCCAGAAATCTGTTGTTGTTTTTAATGGGAAATCTACTGAGCTGATATTGCCAACTAATCCTTTAAAAAATGTTTTAAACAACAAGTAAAACACCATAAGTGGCCAATCAAACACCTCAATGACCTGATTTTAGCACACAGGCTACCAATTTTTGACTGCTGCTTCAAATCACCATCCTAATGAAAACAGTTGATGTTGTTCCTTCTTTGGTCTGCCCCTGCCCTCACTTTGCATTTTGCTCGCGATCTCCAGAGCATCTCCCCAATACCGGAGTAACAACAGCCCATTCCGCTGCTTGACACCTCCCTTGCCACTGCCCTCTTCCACCCAGCAAGTTCCCAGTAAGATGAAGTCCAGATGGTTCAGGGGAGCTGCACACCGAACACTCCACTCCCCCGTAGTCCCTCCACCCCACAAACGCCCACCTGGGCAGCTCCTTTGTTACTCCCCTGAGGCGCCCCTGGCCCCTGTATACACCCCGTTGTAATTACGTGTGTCTCCCCACTGCACCGTGATGGTCCTCCACACATCAACCATCTCTTATTCACCTGTGCATGGGGGGGGGGGTTACCTGCCCCTCAGAAGGTGGCTGGCAAATATTTTTTTAATGAATCAAAAATGGAATAGTGGTTTTTAGCCAATTAGAGCTGTCTGAAGGATGTTTATTTCCACCCCATTATGTATAATTAAGACCCAATTGTCCTTTTGATAAGGACAGTTTTCTCCTTTCCCCTCCTGGGTCCCCATCTCCCAGATACAGAGGAGGTGACACTTCTGTCCCAGCCAGGTCTTCTTATGGGCTGGTCTCTAGGGTTTCTGGGGCTTCCTTAACCCCCTTGCTCTTGCGTTTTGGTTTTTGAGGAAGTTTCCTCGAAGAACCTGAAAAATGGAAGGTCAGAGACTGTTCTGATGACATTGCAAATACAAAGAGAATATCAGTCTGTAACATTCAGGGGACATGGTAGGGATCTGAAGGAAGTACAACAAAATCTTAGATCAAACCTATAAAATACTCCTTATTCTTTTCTCACAGAAATCTATGAGGTAGCGTGATGGCAACACCCCAGTTTACAGATGAAGGATCCTCCCAGCCTCAGAGTAAGGAAAGGCCTCCTCAAAGCCTGAGGCAAGTCAGAGGCACAGTCCAGACCAGACCCACGTTTCTTGACATCTGGCTTCAGGCTCTGATTGCTCCCTGCTCCTAACTTTTGGTTTCACGCCCCAGTTCCCAGGACTTTGCTGATGGATTGCTTGCAAACACCATTGCCATTGTTTAATTTAAGAAATGACTTATAGCCCTGGCTGCTATGGCTCAGTGGTGGATTGAGGGCCGGCCTGCGAAACCAAGGGTGGCCAGTCGATTCCCAGTCAGGGCGCATGCCTGGGTTGCAGGCCAGGACCCTGGTGGAGGGCGTGTGAGAAGCAACCAACCAATCGACGTTTCTTTCCCTCTCTTTCTCCCTTCCTCCCCTTCTGTCTAAAAACAATAAATAAAATATTTTAAAATTTTTATTTTAAAAAAACAACTGATTTATGAACACAGTGCCAGAGAAACACCACACACATGACTTTTAATTGCACAGATAGACCTCAGCCACATCACGGTGGGCCTGCCAGAGAGCACAGTCTGTGTTTTCTTATTTAGCACGAATGTGAAGAATGTAAAATTATCTCTAATGTCTCCAAGCCAAAAATAAATTGTTTAACATGAATTCCTCCAGACTTTAGATCTAAAGTCCTGCTTATAGAGGAGCAAGCTTAAAAGTTGCCAAAAGGAAGAAAGAAGAAAAAAGCAGAAAGTCAAACATTCTGCTGAACAATATAGCCTGATCTCTTCAACAGGTCTGGGAATCGACACAGGGTCTCTATTAGGGTAGAAGAGACTTGTGACACAGAAGTAGGTAAAATGTATGACATTTGGGACACCAGTGCAAAATGTCTCTTTGACTACTGGGAAAAATTTAAATATGGAGTATTTAATACAACAATAGATGAAATAAAAATATTGACGTGGAAGGTTGATTCCATTAACTGAAAAAAGCAAGTTCAAATCAAAAGTATATACACTGTGGTCTCATTTTTTGGTTGAAATACATGTTTCATATGGATAAAAACATTTTGAAAGTGCTGGCAGTGGTGAGGATAATGTGATGTTTATATTTTCTTATTTTTGCTTATTTGCATTGTCTAATTTTTTATGATATGCTTATATTTGTAGTAATAAAATGTTATTTTAAGAAGTGCATGAAAGCCAAACTTCTCAACCTACCATCCAAGCCTTTCCCCTGTTACCCCCATCCCTGCACTTCTCCAGCTCGCTCTGCCATTCACCTCCAAGCCCAGACTGTCTGCTCAATTGCCTCTCACCTCTGCACGCAGCTTTCCTCCCACCTCCTCCCTTTAATTCCCCACTCCCTTTCCTAATCCCTTTCTTTAAAGCTTGTCCCAAAGGTACATCCTCCAGGCAGCCTGCCCCACCCTTTGCCCTAAGACCTCAGATTGCTCTCTGGTGAAAGGCAGGTGATGATACCCACCTCATCAGGATGCTGCAGGGGTTAAGTGAAATTACCAGATACAAAGCACCTGGTACAGGGAGTGGCCGGCCGAAAGCCTGGAGCTTACTTTTCCTCATCTGACGCATAGATCGTCTTGATGACAGAATGGTCTTCATTTCCTTGTATGATTCACTTCCCCAATTTAAACTGTCGTCACCGAGGCCAGGGGGCCACACGGAGCCCGGGCAGGATTCTGGGACTCAGTGGTTGCCTAACCCATGCCCACCTGCACCCTGACCTGTTCTCACCCCACTCTCCCACTCAGTCCAGCTGTGCCTAGCGGACAAGGCCCAGAGGGCTGCTCGTCTGCATCAGCCCCACCCAGCTGCACCTTCAGAGTAAACACCTGGGTCCAATTTAGGACCACGCTCTGAGGTCCTAAGCAACCTTGTTTGCCTTCACTTTCTCCTCAAGTGGCTAAATAAAAACAGCTCACTGTGGCCCGAGAAGCCAGTTCCAGGAAGGTAAGGGGTGGGTGGCTCCAACACTGTCTGCACCTCGATGCACAGGAGGGGTAACTCCCACTGAAGAGACTGTTCCCTGTCCCCACAGCCTCTGTTCAGAGAGTCAGGTAGTATAGTCATCGCTGAGGCCAAAGCAGCTGGGAAGGCCATTCCCAGGCCATCTGGCTGGACTTCTCCTGGTGGGAATGGACTCTTCCCAGTGGGAATGAACCCCTCCCTGAGCCCTTACCCCACCCAACACCTGGAGTGGGTGTCCTGCTGCTGCTCAGACACTTCCTGGGAGTCCCCACTCGCAGCCACTAGAAACAGCCATGCTCTGCTTCTGGTCAGATGGGAAAGTGCCTTTGGTGAAATATTATTTGAAAAACCTCAAAATTCAAAACTATATCATGAGACCTTCAGGGGACATTACACAGAACCCCAAAGGGAACCCACCAAAACGTGGCCTCTGGGTGATGGGTGACTTTCCCTCTTCTTTTGTCTTTAAACTTAAGTTTATTTATATTTAGAGAGAGGGGAAGGGAGGGAGAAAGGAAGAGAAACATCAGTGTGTAGTTGCCTCTTGAGCACCCACTACTGGGGGACCTGGCCCACATGCAGGCATGTGCCCTGACTGGGCATCAAACCGGCAACCCTTGGGTTTGTAGGCCCTCACTCAATCCACAGAGCCACACCAGCCAGGGCTGACTTTCCCTCTTCTGACTTATACTTACCTGTGCATTTCAAACTTTCTATAATGAGCATGCCTGCCAGGAGGGGGACGAAAAGAGGTGGGGAAAATAGAGAAAAGAAAGGAAAATGGACAGAAAAAGAAATGCAGGGGTGAAGGGAAGATGGGAAGGAAAGAAGAGGCCTGTGTTAGGCTGCTCCGGGTTGGACCGCGCAGGTTCTGCTGGGAAACTCCCTCCTCCAGGAACTGCCCCCACACCTAGTGGGTATTACCTCTCCTGAGATGGACATTGGATCTTGGCTTCGCCAGCAGAGAGGCCTCACGGTCTGGGGCCTGCATCTTGGACAGCCTCTCCTTCACGCCGCTGATGTTGTTGTGTAGCCCCCAGGCGCTGCAGATCTTGGGCAGAGAGTCTTCCCGGTTGGCCAAGGGACTCTCCAGAGCGTCGGAGGACCAGAAAGTTGCCTGCAGTGGGCGACAGTGTAGAGAAGAGTGTGGAGAAGAGGGGCCCCGGTTCCGTGGTGCCAGCCACGCCCCCGTTGGGGATCTGCTGCTGTCTGGCTGCACCGAACACCTGCCCCCCCACCCCCCGGAAGGATGGACAGGCTCCTGCAGACATGGAGGCCAGGCTGCCAACTGTCTCTTCTCTGGTGGTTCTTTGCTTTGAGAGAGGTGCTCTATTTCTTTCTTGAGTTATAGTAGTGCCTTATGTGTTTGTAGTGAAGGAATTTTTTAAAAGTCCTTTTTAAAATTAAAATTGAGAGCCTGAAAATATCTTTTGAAACTTTCCTGGCTGGTGAAATCCAGGAATCACTAAAATGCAACAGCAGGTCCTGGTATTCAGAGAAGGGATCATTGAACCAAGCCACCCATTCGTGTTCGGAGGAAGAAAGGGAGCCCAGAGGGGGAGAGGATCTGGTTAAAGCCGCACAGCAGGAGAGTTGCGGGCTGGGGCGGGGCACTCGGGCATGGTTGGAGCAGGGCGACCCTCTGTGGCAGGTTGTTTGAACCCGGCTCTTAGAACCCCATTTGCCATGTGGTCTGAGTCAAGTCACTGTACCTCCCTACATTTGGCATCTTTATTTCCACACTGTGGACAATAATTCTAATTACCATTTAGGGTTACTTTTGAAGATTACAGGAGGGAATATAAAGTAGCTGGCACATAGAAAATATTGCCTATGATTATTATTTTGGAATGGGTTCTCAAAGTGTGCTTTTTAGGGACACCCCTGGGGGTCCCTAAAACATTTTGACCTTCCAGACCCCCTGCAAAGTGGGGTCCACTCAAAAGTGTAAGAGAGAAACCAGTGGTATCTAACGTAACCTAGTGTGAAAAGTTCATTCATACAAATCTAAAAAGGCTGCAGATTGTATGATTCCAACTATATGGTATTTCAGAAACAGGCAGAACTATGGAGACGGTGAAAACATGAGCGGTTGCCAGGGGTTTGGTGGGAAAGAGGGAGGGAGGGAGAACAAGGCAGGGGGGAATAGGGCAGTGAAACTACTCCGTATGATACTATGATGGTGGACACATCCTACAGAATATACAACACAAAGATATATCCTAAGGTAAGCTACGGACATTGTAAGTTAAGGATGTACCAACATTGGCTCAACAATAACAACAAATGTACTGCTTTAAAGCAATATGCCAATAAGAAGTAGGCACAGGAGGCAGTGGTATATGGGAACTCTGTAAAACACTAATTATACCACTCTCTCTTTCCCCACTATATAACTGTATGAAGCTGGGTTTTCTTCATACACTTCAACCAAACTAATATGTCATGAGAGACCGACCACAGAAGCCGGTAGGAGAATCCAGCTGTCTTCTATTCAGCCAGATCCGACAGAGATTTGTAATAATGTAAAACAAGGCCACTCTTCTCACGAAATAATTTTGTCTTGAAAATTAGTTATTTCTCATAAAAATTATGTCAGTTATATCATGGACTACTTGCTTTTATTTTTTAAGTGGATTAGTGGATACGTATTTTACATTTTTCTTTAACTTTAATTTCTAATAGGGAAAATATCAATAGGCATAATCTACATAAACCAATGCTTTGAGGAAGTTCTCAATGATTTTTAAGAGGCTATAAGTGACCCAAGACCAAAATGTTTGAGAATCTCCAGTTTTGATAAAGCTGGGCCAGGCTTTGTGGGTAGTCCCCGGAGCCTTTTCCAAGCTGGGTGTGCCCTTCCGCCAGGCCTCGGCCGTCCCCACCCACGGCTCGAAGGCATGTGTCTTGCTCCTGTTAACATCAGTGTGTGGGTGTGAATAAAAATCAAGAACCTGAACCTGAGTCTCTGTCCTCTTCAGTCCCACTCTGGGTTCACTGCAGGGGTAAAGTTAGGGGCAGAGAGGTTTTCCTGAGGCAGTGGGCTGTGGAAAGGACTGGAGGGGTGCTGGTTTGTGAGAAGGCCCCTCAGTCCCAGGCCTCCCCCCACTGTCCAAGAACACATTCACCAACCCTCAGCTGGGCCTGGGAGGAGTTTTCTTGAGCATCTTACCAGGAACTTGGCGTTCTGGCTGTTCTTGGTGTACTTGTAGAGCTTGTGAAGCTGCTTTGCCTCTAATTCTGAGAAGAGGGAGACAAATCGCCAGAGCATCCTACAGGGAAGAAACCTGAGGCTGAGGGAGGCAGGGCACAGCCCCTGTCCCTCCAGCATTTGTTTTGTGGCCAAAACCCAACCAGGGAGAAATGGGCTACATGCTGCCTCATTGGTTTTTGGTTGAGGGCATGGAGACTCAGCGGTTTTCCAGACTTTGGATAGCATGGCCTGGTGATGAGTGCCTCACCACCCAGTAGTTCTTCAATCAGGGCTCATTCTCCTTGGGGTCAGGAGAGCTTTTTGTCCACTGTGTGTACAGCATAGTGAATCAATGCTGCCCTGAGTGACTAGAGAACCCTGGTTTTTCCACCCCATCTTCACCATGCTCATTCCAGGATCCTGACTCCTGACTCCTTCACATAAAGGCGAAGGACTAGGGGATCTTGACTCGGGTGTGACCTTGAATCTAGAGGGGGTGAACCAGGAGCGGGAGTGGTATAGTGGGAAGGGCAAGAAGGCTGCCCTTACTTCCTCCAGTGCTTGGTTTCCCAGGCTCGGCAGTAGTGCTTCAGAAAGGTGTTGATGTGGTCGCCTAGGACCACCAGGCTCGCCTTCATGTAGTTTAGCTGCTTCTTCTGGGGAAGATCCTTGGGCACATTCAACTTTCGCAGGAACTTCTTTAATGGTCTTAAGCATTCCTTGCACTGAGGAGGCAACAGGTGAAATGAGGGGCCATAAGAGAAAAAAGAGGCAGACAGGCAGCCCCAAGTAAGTAGGAGGCTGGTCCAGCTGCAGCCCTTCGGACCCAGGTAGGGTTACACGTGTTAAGTGAGGAGGATCCAGTCAATATCTTTCCCCACTTCCTTCCCAAGAGTGTGACAAATGGGGCAATGAGGTATGGGTCTGAGGCCTGCCAATTTCTGGCCCAGGTTTTCTGACCTGAGGGGAACAGGGGGCAGGGTCCTGGGATGGCCCCTTACTCACAATTCGGAAGGTGCACTGGTCCAGGCCCTTGGCCTGGCTCACAAGTGAGTCTCCAGCTGGGGTGGTGCTGGAGCCCCTCTCCGAGCAGGGTATATCCGCCACCTGGGAGGAGGCGGGGGCAGCGGTCAGCTAGGGGGCTTGGCCTACTTCTCCTGAGGGGCAATAATTACAGCATAGTAAACCAGCAAATTTTTCATAGCACTTGATAAACATTAATTCACTTTACTGTCCCACAAATACTGACATCTCCCACAACCAGATGTCAGTATCCCTGGTTACGAGGAGGAGCACCAAGGCACCAAGGCAGTTAAGTAACTACGTGGGGAAATGAGCAGGGATTCATTTACTCCTTCAGCAAACATTTACTGAGTGCCTAAGTTCCAGGCCCTCTGCTTTCTATACCTAATCATTAGCATCATGCCATGTTCCTGGGCACTCAGAAACATGTGTGATGGTGAGGGTAATGATGGGAAGGAATTCTCTGACAGCAAAAGTGGGGCAAAAAAATCTGATGAATGGAGACAAAGTGACTGTACAATGATACCTGAAGTCAGAGCACAGAATTAGATTGGCATGGCTGGATTTGCACCTGACCTTTTAAAAGCCTCTCAGAAATATGAGCATTAAGTCCTCCCTGTGTTCAGGGGAATGAAGAAGACACAGGCCCAGAGCATTCTGAAGGAAGAAATCAGGGCCTGGGAGGGAGCTGGACGCACAGGGTACAGGACACAGGCTCCTCCAGTTCCCAGAGAGAGGGGGCTCAGGCTGATCTTTATAAATCACACACCACACAACCACACGCGCGTGTGTGTACACACACACACAAGAGCCCTGGTGTCTTCATAACCAACATCATCTTACCAGAAATCGTCCTATCATCTTGCCAGTAGTATATGTCCTTGATAAACATCTATTTGAATAAATAAACCTTCTCTTGTTCTTTTGTTTTCTTGCTAATTTGTGTACCTCACCAGTTTTCCTTCTTCTACTCTTCGCTGCATTTCGTATTCTTTGCTTTCCAAAACCAGCCCATTGAGGACCCTGCTTCCTCCCTCCCTCACACCTCCAACCCCACTTCACCTTCTCTAGTGGCTTGTCTCCTTCACCCCCTTGCCCATCTGAGGACCCCATCTCAACAGGTGTACTTGTGGACTCCAGAACGGACTCCTCACGCCCCATCAGACTCTGACCGACTGCTTCTCAGACCTGAGCGTCTCAGGGAGTGAGCAGGTTGGCTCTAGAACTCAGGGCAAAACCATGGCAACTGACAACACAGAGCCCAGGGCCCCGGCCCCTCCCATGCCCTCATTCCTGGGGGTGGCCACCAGCCTTCTCTTTGAACTGCTTACTGGACTAGGGAAGTGCAAGATGTACTGGGAAGACCCAGGACTTTGTCAGAGTGCACACTGCTGGCTAGGAGAAGCCGACATCCTTCTTCCCAAGAGACTGTCAGATGCTAATGATTTGGAATCTTGGTTTTTGAAGTCATTTTCCTGCTCATGTGCCCTTCATGCCTCCTCAGTTACACGTGAGAGTCAGGACCAGGGTTTGTAACATTACTGTTTGGGTTTGGAACAAGGACTAGAAGGTGCCCTGAGCAAATGGAATATACTCTGTTGGGCTAGAGCTTCTCTTCTATCCCCAGTAGCCTCCAGGAAGTTAATAGGCCAATTGTGTTGGATGTTGGTTGGGTCGTGGTGTTTTTAGGGGTGTGTACAGAAATACTAGCCATGTGTATTACCTTGGTTAACTCACATCACTCTTCCCTGGTGTAAGGTACCAGCAGTGATCCCATTTCATAGAAGAGGAACTCAGATGTAGCTTGCCTTAGGTCCGCAGTCACCAAGTGGGGCGCGGGAATATCGGTCAGATTCTGACCTCCTTTTCCCACACGCGCCGCCCTCCAGGGACCTGAGTAAGCCTTTCCCAGGCCCGTTTGGCCCATAGGGCCCCCGGGAGCGCTCCCTGGAGGATGCGGCAACGGCGCCCCCTCGCGTCCTTCCCTAGTGCACGCTGCAGGTTCCTAAGACCGCGGCAGCCTGGGTTTATTTAATTAACCCGTATCGAAGAAGATACGGAATGCTCTACTCCAACTCCTGGTCCTTACCATCGTGTCCTCTGGATCCGAGGTCTTGTTTTCCCCACACGATTTAGCTCTTTTTCTCCCCTGCCTTCGAGGCCACAGAGTGGGACCGCCATTGGCCAATAGAGCAGAAGCCGGAGCTTGGGTACTGTGGCTCTGTCGTCTAAGGTATTCCCTCTCCATCTGACCGCGTACCCACACATGATAGGGACTTTGTGGCTCTTGACATAACTACAGGTCAATGCGGCTTTGCCTCCAGACTGGGAGGTCTGTTTTCTCAGCATTCATTTCGAATTCTTTACAGCTATTAAGAAGTATAATTGGCAAGAGTGAGGGGAAGGGGGCTCTCATAAACTTTATTGGGAGTCGTCGTTGGTAAATAATCTGTGTAGCAATGCAAAATGTTAAATGTGCATGCCCACTGATCCACTTATACGAATTAGTCCTAAGGAGAAATGAATATATGAGGGCTGTTACAATGGTGACAATTTAGAAACAACTGAAGTGTCATCGATGTGTGTTGCATGCCATCGACTAGGCTCTGACTCCTGGCAGTCCCATGAATGAGTGATGCCCGCAGTGTCCCGTCCTCAACAGCGCTGCTCAGCTCTTGCAGGCTCGTGCCTATGGCTTCTTTTATGGAGTCCGTCCATCTCATATTTGGTTTTCCTCTTTTCCTGCAGCCTTATATTTTTCCAGCATTACTGTCTTTTCCAAAGAAGTCTGCCTTCTCATGATATGCCCAAATTAGGACAGCTTGGGTTTTGTCTCAGATTTGTTGTACCTCAGTCTTCTTCATCTATAAAATGGAGATAATGACACAGTGCTGTCATAAAGATTAAATGATTTAATAATCTATGTAAAAGGCCTTAATGTAGTGTCTGCCACATAGAAGAGCTCAGTGAGTGCTAGCAATTATTATTAAATTGTTTAAGAGGATTTTCCTTGATTAAATATCTTGTAAATGAACTCTATACATCTTTGGTGTGGCTAATACTAATTTTTTAGGCGACAGGGTTTCAGAACAATCAACTTTGAAAGAGTAAAACTATATACACAATGGCCAGGAATAAACTCATTAAATGGCCAGCATGTACTTTTAGTGGTACTAACCGTGCCTAAACTGGGACTTTTGCTAGTAATTATTCTTTGTTTGGGGACTGTGACAACGTAGTTAAGACGACATGCCTTCTAGTTAAGTGTCCTTTTCAAATTGGAAACATGAGAAGGTAGTTGGCAGCCACTATTTTTAGAGTTTGTGTTCTGGGAGCACAGTGATAGTGCTTCAAGGGAGCCAATCCCAGTCCTTTTCCCACAATTTCTCTAAAAGCCAAGCCACACTTACAGAAGCCTTTAGTATGGGAGGTAACACAAGACTGTTAAAAAGCTGAGGCTCACCGTGGACAAATCTCTCTCAAAGAGGGATCTTACTCAGACTTGCTCTTTCGGGAAATGGGATATGAAGCAATGTGGCCTAAAGTGTGGGAGGTGATGGCGTCTTCTTGTAGACATCTGGGCAAAGGAAGAACTAAAGTGTTTTTATTAACACCCAAAAGTTAATAGAAAGGTCAAGTCGGGACTTGTCTCAGAAATTAAAAATATTAAAATACTGATCCTCGGGATCTATTGTGTGTGCATCACATTTTGAAAGCTCTTTATTTGGAAATAATTTTAAGCTTACAATAAAAAGTTGCAAAAATAAGAATAGTACAAAGAATACTTGCATATCCTTTACTCAGATTCATCTATTGTTAACATTTTACTCAATTTCCTTTATTATTTGCATTCTCTCTTCTCTTTATATATATATGTATATAAAACACACATATGTATACAATATATGTATAAGAATATATTATATATATATCTCCTGGCCTCAGTGAATTTTGCTTCTTTCTGTTCATTGAAACAATCATAAAGTTCTGCTCAGGCTCAAGGAGAGGGGAAATAGTTTCCAGGAGAGCAAGAGAGAGAGAGAGAGAATGAGAATATTTTGTCTTTTCCTAAACCATTTATTTATTTAAAAAATTATTTATTAACTTTTAGAGAGTAGGGAAGGGAGGGAGAAAGAGAGGGAGAGAAACATGAATGTGTGATTATTTCTCATTTGCCCCTTACTGGGGACCTGGCCTCAACCCCGGCATTGTGTCCTAGACTGGGAATCAAACTGAAAACCCTTTGGTTCGCAGGCCTGTGCTCAGTCCACTGAGCTATAACAGCTAGGGCTCCTGAACCATTTAAAAGCAAGTTTCATACATCAAGGTCTCTTGCCCCTAAATAATTTCAGTGTGTATTTATTAAGAAATGCTCAAGTCAAGAAATACTTGTGTTGGAGACAATACTACCAAGAAACCTTAATCACACTAGACCTGCTCTAGACGATGAGGTCCTAGACTCCAGGCTTGAACCTGATTTTCATAATGGGAATTTTGGAGAAAGGGGTGAATGTACAGTAATACTTCATTTTATTGCATTTTGCTTTTTTGAGCTTTACAGCTGTTGCATTTTTTATGAACTGAAGACAAAACCCTCTGCTAGCAAAAAAAAAATTACAACTCACTTTATTGTGATCCTCATTTTACCGTGGTGATCTGGAACTGAACCTGTGATATCTCTAAGGTATGCCTGTATATTGCATGTGGGAGGAATGTAAATTGTTATGTTCAGAGGGCAGACTGTGATACAGCAATATTTCTGGAAACTATTTCCCCTCCCCTAGAACCTGGGAAGAACTCTGTGACTGCTTCAATAATTAGAATGCAGTAGAAGTGACATTGTGTTACATCTAAGGCTAGGTCATAAAAGGCAATACAGCTTGGCTGAGAATTACATGTGTAGTTGTTCCAGCTGACAGTTTCAGCTGAGGTCACAGCCAACAACCAGCATCAAATGCCAGACATGTGCATGAGCAAGCCTTCAGAGGACTCCTAGCTTGCAGGCTGTTGCAGCTCACACTAAATGCAGTAGAGGTTAGCTCTCCCCACTGAACCTTGCCCCAACCGCAGATTTATGAGTAAAATAAATATTGTCATTGTGTTATGCTACTAGTTTTTGAGGTGACTTCTTGTGAGGTAATAATAACTAAAATCACATAGAGTAGCACAAGTACACTCATTTCAATAAATAAAAATATACATTCTAGAATATAATTCCAATTAATGCTCTAGCACTTTAGAAGAAGAATAAATCAAATTTGAGATCAATGAGGGAAGAAATATTGGGGATGGAGAAAACCCATATATTGGTGTTTTTAGAATGCAAGATTGGGTACAGTTAGTAATTGCACACAGTGACCTATTAACTAGAATTTAACTCTGCCAACCTTTGTTTTTGTTCCATAGGTGCAGAAACTAAAATATCTGGGTTAATTTAGCACCTTTTTTTGTAAAGGCTACCAGTGAGTCTAGGTTACATGGTCTGAGCTACTAATTAAGAGTTTGTCTGAGTTGGGGAAATTTGAACTCTTTCCCTATGGATTTTCTGGTGAAAATCTTTCTAACTGTTGGCTACTCCCTTAGATTTTTTCATGAATTAATTTGGATGCCATTATTACTTACTAATTTACACAAAAGTATGGGCCTCAACAATCCCTTCTGAGTGACATTCAGGCTGAAGTTCATTCATAGGAGAGATCTATCTTCAACAATTAATTATCACACTTTGGCCTAATTTATTCTTTTAGATAAGAAAGAATAAATTTCTTACTGTCCTGTCCCCAGAACCTCCTGTCTAGAACTGTTCACTGATAGCTCAAAAAGATCACAGCAAAATAGAAATGTGACTTAAACCCCTAAATTCTTAAAATCTACCTGAAAGCATTCCTCAAATGCTTATAATTCTTTTTTTTAAAGATTTTATTTATTTATTTTTAGAGAGAAGGGAAGGGAGGGAGAAAGAGGGAGAGAAACACTGACTGGGAATTGAACCCACAATCTTTCAGTTTGCAGGCCAGGGCTCAATCCACTGAGCCACACAAAGCCAGGGCAAATGCTTATAATTCTTATTGTGTTAAAAATGAGAACTATTGCCTCATTAGTTAATGGATTTTGATTTTTCAGTTGTTTTAGTAGCTAGCT